TACTTATTTTTTTTTTTTTTTTTTTGAGACAAAGTTTTACTCTTGTTGCCCAAGCTGGAGTGCAACGGTACGATCTTAGCTCACTGCATGCTCTGCCTCCTGGGTTCAAGTGATTCTCCTGCCTCAGCCTCTTGAGTAGCTGGGATTACAGGTGCCCGCCACCACGACCAGCTAATTTTTTATATTTTAAGTAGAGAAGGGGTTTCACCATGTTGGCCAGGCTGGTCTCGAACTCCTGACCTTCAGGTGATCCACCCACCTCAGGCTTCCAAAGTGCTGGGATTACAGGCATGAACCACTGCACCCAGCCGGTATTTAAGTGGTTTTAATTTCGTTTTTCGAGTATTCGTTTCAGATTACTTGAAGGTTCTGGAGATAAGTCTGGAGTATATTTTGTTTCCTTTAGTTGTTTAATTAAATACTAATTTATGTAGTAAACAGAGTTTTTTAGTGTATACTATGTCAGCCTATTATAATTTTTTTTTTTCCTGATAAATCTTTGGGTTTACTGAATCAGTCATGTTAGAGGTCTCGTGAAATCTGGTTTCTCTGGATCTTCAAAATAGTAATTTCTTTTTTCTTTTTTTTTCTTTTTTTGAGATGGAGTTTCACCCTTGTTGCCCAGGCTGGAGTGCAATGGCATGATCTCGGCTTACTGCAACCTCCACCTCCCGGGTTCAAGCGATTCTCCTACCTCAGTCTCCCTAATAGCTGGGATTACAGGCAGATGCCACGACGCCCAGCTAATTTTTGTATTTTTAGTAGAGATGGGGTTTCACCATGTTGGTCAGGCTCGTTTCCAATTCCTGACCTCAGGTGATCACCTGCCTCGGCCTCCCAAAGTGCTGGGATTACAGGCGTGAACCACTGCACCCAGCCCAAAGTAGTAATTTCTTTACCAAAGAAGAAAAGAACTATGGTCATCGTGTATTTTAGAAGCTAAGTGCTAAAGATCTTAGATGATTGGCAGTCCAGAGTCTGTCTCCATTGCCTTGCCTTGCCACTGAAAATAAGAATGATTTATGAGCAGAGAAAATGCACCTTTTCTTTGCCTAGATAAATGAGTAGCCTAGTATTTTTATCATTCTCTTAAAGTGTCCTTAAACTGAATTACACAGAATTCTAGAGATCTCAGTGGGTGAATGGTTGTATGGTGGTAGAGGGAAAGGAGGGGATTGTTTTTATTAATCTATTTTAAGAGTTTTCTTTTTTCTTTTTCTCTTTTGAAAGCTGAAGCAGCCTATAGATATATTCTTGTCTCATGATTGGCCAAGAAGTATATATCATTATGGAAATAAGAAGCAACTTCTTAAGACTAAATCTTTTTTCCGACAAGAAGTGGAAAATAACACATTAGGAAGTCCAGCTGCCTCAGAGCTTTTAGAGCATCTAAAACCTACTTATTGGTTTTCTGCCCACCTTCATGTGAAGTTTGCCGCCTTAATGCAGCATCAGGTAGAAAACAAAATATTTATTCTCTCATTTAACACACACTTATCGAACATCTGTGGACCAGACACAGTTGTAAAGTAAGAGAAAGAAGTAAAAGATAACTTACCTCTTATGAGTAGCTCAATATATGATTCTGGGAAAAGACAAGCAATTACAAAATAGTACAGTAAGTTTGAGAGAAAACTTAGGCAGTGGGAGCACATAAGCCAGACTAGTGGGATGGGAACGTGGGAGATGACGATAGAGAAGGTTTTCAAAAGGCGATAGCTGAACTGAGTCTTGAAGTGCCAGGAACAAACAGACTGTAAGGGTATTTTATTTAGAGGGACTGACGTGCAGAGGCTAAAGGTCTGAGAGCATGGGGTGTTTGAGCGCTTATAGGTAGTTCCTGTGGGACTAAGGCATAGG